AAAGATGTTGTGTCTGCCGAGAACTAAAAAATAAATATTAAAATTCTCTCTCTCTCTCTCTCTCTCTCTAAAGAAAAAAAAAGAAATTAAAACCCTATGTGCTGCTGGTGGGAACATAAAATGGTCTAGCTATTATGGAAAACAATGTGACAATTTCTCTAGAAATTAAAAACAGAATGACCATACTACCTCTGCAGAGTTCCAGCCAACTTGGGACAGGAAGGTGATAGGTGAGGACCAGAGAGGGTCTCTAAAGCATGGCTCCAGGAGCCACATCTCAGGAGAGTTCTGCCTTCACTGTCCAATCCCAGCCCCATTCAGGTCCCGTTCCTGTTAGATGCTCATCTATCAAACTGAGCTATTTGTTTCAATCCCAAAATAGAAATCACTATTTTAGGATACACAGCAAGGAGTTCAGCTGTGTTTTGGTAGAAATTAGCCAACACTTCCTGATAATAAACAAAGATGGCCATGTTTGTTTTGCTTGTTGTAGCTTATTTTCTGGGAACTGGAACATGACTTCAGTATGTTGTGAAGAAGTGGAGGTCTAGGCATGTTGAACACCTAAGTTGCAGCATGAGTTAATGTCACTCCAGACCTAAGAACCCAGGGTGGGGGCCAAAAAGCTCGGTGACCATCTGAAATGCTGCCCACCCTACCCAGCCCTCCCATGCCTTCCCCTGCCCCCAGTGCTATGAGAAAGCAGCCCTGGCTCTGGCTACACCCTCACTCGAGTTTTCTTCTAACTCTTGAAACCACTAATTCCAGCTCCCTGCCCCATTCCTTCCCAGTCCTGACCCCGGCCTGGTACCAAGTGCTGAACTTGAGAATCCTTCCTCTCACATCAGTAGCTCCTTCAAGTGCCCCAAATCTTGAAACTTGGAGAAAAATAAAAAGTACCTCTTCCTTCAAAGTTCTATGCTGCTGCTGCTGTGACAATGAACGAGAAAGAGGCCCCTGGAACCATTATATGAATGCCCCATAGCTCTCCAGCAATGTCCATGCCCAGAACAATGTGGAGATCTTACTTCACATCCAAGAACTGGGGTGAGGGTGGGTAGGTAGGTATCTGTGCAGCCTTTTCACACAGCCTTGGAGAAGGGGCTGGGGCCAAGGCCGCTGCTCTGGGAACAAGGCTCTTCCTGAGCCCGGGACAGTGTTTCCAATATTCGATGAACCAACCAGAAACTCACAGAGTACAAATAGTGTATGGCATTACTTATCTCACCTTTAGGGGGGAAAAAAAGCTTGACAGAATATTTAATTCTGTAAGCAGTCACTATAGATTTTTATTTCTCCAATAAAAGTCTAATAAGTTGACTCATGGGGCCATCTTATTAAAATAAACAAAGTGAAAAAACTTTCAACTCTGAACCCCCAGAGCTACCTCACATGTAGCAGATTCTCAAAAAGCAGAACATGGCGTGTCAAGAGTGTGAGAAAGAGGATGAAATAAACAGTCGTTTTTATCCCCTTTCCTCTGAATTCATAAACCTCAGGGAAAGGAAAGGACTTTTTGTTTTGTTTTGTTTGTTTACAGAAATCTTTGATTTTGATGGTTGATGTTGATGTTATTGTTATTATTATTATTATTTTACTTTACGATGATGCAAAAAGAATTTTCATACAGTAGAAACTGTCCTTTAAATTTTGATCTTGATCTGTTCCCAAGCTAGTGGTGAATGTTCTGGTCCTTCCTGGAGATGCCGGACTTTGGCAGCAGAAGTGACCCCCGGTTTCCAGTCCGCCCTGCGATGACACTGGTGCTTTACAGTGTGCTATGCTGCTAACCTAGGATCTTCTGTGGATCAGATGGATTAAATGCATTTTCAATTCACGGTGGGTTTCTCAGGACTATCTTGTCACCTGTGCAGGAGCTTCTGTGTCTTTAGGATAGCCAGGGATCTCTGTGCACTCCTTAGGTAGGAGCTTCACTGATAACCGCCTATTGGACACTCTCTATTCAGCTTGGCCAGGTGGCAACCACATGTTTTCTTACAAGAAGCTGAGGAGTTTCAAGAGATCCAGTCAACATCATCCCTTGGGATGGAACAACCCCTTGTCCCATGGCATGACTTATATAATAGGGATTAGGTACAACATTCTTTGTCAAGGGCATAAACATCTTCATTCTTCACTTTCCTGAATCATGCCCTTCCTTCCCTCCCTTTCAGCCAACCTTTACTCTTACCCCTAAAAATCTCCTGCTATTCATCCAAGGTCTTTCTTGTACCAAGGAAACAAATTAATTAAGTGACTTAGGGAACATGGTGACTAAGGTTGTAGCTGTCTTCATCCATTTTCTGCTGCTATAACAAAATACAGGGAAATTCATAAATAAGAGAAATTGATTTGTCTCATAGTTCTGCAGGCTAAACAGTCTAAAGGCATGATGCCAGCATCCAATCCACATCTGAAGAAGGCCTACTTGCTACATCATTATAGGCAGAAAGCATCCCATGATGAGACAGCAAGTAGGCTAGGCTAGCTCAGGTCTCTTCCTCTTCTCATAAAGCCACTAATGCTGATATAGGGGCCCCACCCTCATAACCTCCTCTAATCATATTTACCTCCCAAGGGCTCCCAACTACAAATACCATCAACATATGAACTTGGGGACAAATTTCCAATGCATGAACTTCTTTTTCCTCTTGTGGTACTGAATATTGACCCAGAGGCTCCTACATACTAGACAAGCACCCTACCACAGAGCATATCCCCAGTTCTTTTTAAATTTTATTTTGAGATGGTGTCTTGCTAAGTTTCCTAGGGTGACCTCAAATTTGTGATCCTCCTTCTTTGGCCTCCCGAGTAGCTAGAGTAACAGGCATGTGCCAACACATTAACACACAATTTTTTGAGGGACATACTCAAACTATGGCAATGGCATTCTAGAAAAGGACCACAGAATTAGAACCTCAGCAAAAGGCATAATACAGAAGAGATTCTAGATGCACCAGTTTAGCTTCAAATCTGTAATCGCTCATTATTCCTTCTTGTTTCTTCCAAATCCTAACAGGGGTATCATGATCCCTACTTGACTAACGCTTGAAGATCTCTCTTTAGGATTCTGTTGTATGATCTGAGCAGATGAGACAGTCCTTCTTCACTTCCATCTGTGTGACCCTCAGCCCAGGTAGCATGTGGCCAGGTAAGAATACCAGACAGAGAATCAAGAGATGGTCTGGTCCTGTCTCAGCATAACTGGTTGGATGGTTTGGAAACTATACTGGAGACTCTTTTCTGTGTTTCCTTCACAGTGAAGGTCTATGAGGTTCTGGGAATGGGGAAAAAAAGAGAATATAAGGTTAAATAAGAACAGTTCCTGAGCTCAAGGAATTTCTATAGTAAACCTCATTTCTTTGCATTGAAAACCAATCGGAGTACCGTCCCCCCAAGACAATACGTTGGTGTATTTTTCTGGGTTGTTGTTTGCTCGTTTGTTGCTTCCTTTGTCTGACATAAATTTATTTCCCATCAACTTTGTAACACAAACATTTTCCCACGTCAGCCCAAATATTTCAATGACTAGATCACATCCCATCAACAAAATGTGCCAAAGTTGGGAAAAATCAATTCCTTTTGTTTTATTTTTCCCCTGATAAACGAATCTTTTCCTTGCTTAGGATGGTGGACTGTTGTGATTGGCTTGGGGTTAGTTTCAGTTAGAGAATGTAGAGAGATTTGCAAACATGAAGTGTAGCTTGAAAGATGAAGAAAGAACTCTGGAGAAAAATGGCAAATGAACTACCCGCAAAACCCTAAAGAATGCTCCATCCCCTACCTCCTCTGGGTTGAGGCTGAGTTTGAAGCCAGAGTTTTAAGCACTAACATGCGTGACACAAAGAGAGGGCCATCCCCGATAACATAGCTGGTGTCTAAACTCAGGACCAAAGCACCTCCTGCTCCCCAAGAGAGCCTGTAGGGTGCTTCTACCCAGTTCTGAGAAGAGTGCATGTGCAGTAGGAGCAACATTGATATCTAAATTCCTCCTGGGCTTGGCCCCACCAATGCCCTTAGGCATTTAAACAGTAATTGCAATGGCAGCAAGGGTGATTGCTGTGGTAGAGCTGCTCTCTCTCTTCCATTGCCATCTGCAGACAGGAAAATGACTTGGTGTGTTAATTTTTTTTATTGCTGTGACAAAATAGCCGAGAAAAAACACTTCAAGAAGTAAAGATTTATTTTGGCTAATGGTCTCCAAGGTTTCAGTCCATGACCAGCTAGTTCCATTGTTTCTGGA